GTCTAAAGAAATAAGATTTTTCCATATTTTCTTATTACTCATACGTAGTTTCGTATTGTTTAGGATCTATTAGAATTGCGTTGTACATATTTGTACGTTTGTTTGTGTGCGCGTGATAACGTGATATATATGACATATATGATAGGCTACGGATGATTGTATATTTTTACATACGTATGTGTTTCATATTTATATGCCGTTCATTATAATTTAAACCTCATCGTTCTCGTATTTTATAAATTACAGCCAAATAGTTTTAATGTACTTTTTCTAAAGTGTAAGGTTTCGAAAAGTGAGGTATGTTGATATTTTTGCATATAAAAATATATTTACATAAATACTTTCAGTACAGACACAAACCAGGGCCTAATTATGACTTACTACTTTTTCTCTTAATTTGTAATAACAGAGCAAAATTATTTTGTCTTACAAAAATGATATAACCTAAAAATATTACATTATGGTAAAAGATTTTTTCGTAGTTACTTCTCCACGAATCAAATTATAAACCCTGTAGTTATGAAGTTATAGTATAAAATTGGCTGACATTAAATCAATGTTGATTATCAATTTTATAGTGTAACGAAGACAATAGGCCTATTTTAAATTATCTACGTCAAATAAACAAAACGCCCAATATCAATCAAACAAAATAGTAAAAATTCTTAGATATTCTATGACTTGTTACTTGTACATGTACATGTGAATTAATGTTTATTTTATAATAAACTACATTAATTCAAAGAAAAACGTTCATAGAAAATCCAGTTTAATGTTTTAAATATTGAAGTCGATGTTTTAAAAAATCTTTTTGAAGTTAATTCGTGGTAAAAAAAATGGAAAATAGTCTTTATACTTTATAAGCAATAAAGTTCATTTACCATTTTTTTATCATACACATCATACAGTTTATTATTGAGTTTGTTGTGTGTATAAAATTAGTATGATTTCCAAACAGTACATAATATGTACACACACATAAAATTTAGACTGTTTAAATTAGGTCTAAATATGTGTACTGCTGTACAAATTTGTACAATTATTATTAAATAATAAAGGAAGCTAACCACGGTTTTTTTGTATTTCCTAGTCCCGAAAAATGGTCGGAAATCAACTTACGTGTACGTTATGATACAGTGAGAGTAATGTTTCGAGAACTATGCGAGTAAAAGTAAGAAAACCTTGAAATGTATGGAGATGATTATATCTTCCTATAATTTAGTCTCTTTTTAAGTTTAACCGTACTTCCAGCAGCGTTCAAATGTCGAGAATACAAAAATACAAAAAATTTAGGCAGTATTTTACCGTTATTTTTTTAATAGTGTAAATAATGACCGGCGACATATTTAAAAAAGAAATCTGTACAAATTGAAATTTATGTTTATTCGTCTCTATGATAACTGAAATGAATCCCTATTGTGACATACGTATGTGTGTATAGTTGCTAGTATGCAGTATTTGTGTTTTTTTTTACATTATTATATATCTAGATAGATTTATAGAACAAATTGTATTTTTAGGTGCTCATAACTAAAATATCTTGTGAACCTTTTTTGTTTATTTTTATATAAATAAATATAACAGTTCTAGAGGAATATAAAAGTGCTAAATATATTTTTAATACGCTTAATTAATATCGATGTTTTGTGGGAGAACAAACATATCGCTGATATAAAGAATTATAATCAAAGTCAAAACAAAGCAATAAATATATTTCTACAATGCTTTTTGTCATATTATATATTTTTAGAAAAAATAATAGTTGATATTAAGCATTTATAATATATATTTCGTACTTTTACGTTATCCTATATGACTGTTTTTCCTACTTAAAAGACAATCTACGACATATTTAATATCCGGTGGCACTAATGTATGCATTTTATTTTAATATCCTTAGATATATATGTAGATATATCAGGCTTTATGTTTTAATGCAATTTTAATAATAAACTTTTTACTAAAATTACAAGTCTAATCACTTTAGTTTTCTCGGTTTTTTTTAATGGATAATAATGTAATAGTGCACCCGCCTGCGCTGGCGGTTTATGCTGGCGGGCACCAGTGGAGGATGATAAGATGAGCATGAGGTCAGGTCAGTTAGCCCATCGCAACAAATTCACCTGGAATTTATCATGATGGTTTCAAGGCAGAACCTCGTGGATCTTCTTTCCCCCCGGAGTTCACGGTTCGAAGCGTAGTTAAAACTTATTTCATCTTTAACACAGCTCTGGTTCGGATTACCACCCTCATTGTTTTTTTTTCTTTTCTAAAGACTATTTTAGTCTTTGATTTTTTTTTATTTTCTAAAATAGTTTTAGTAAAAAGTTTTATTATGCTATTTCATCAAGGAAAAGACAATCGATACGCTTATACTATTCTAAACCGCTCGTTTTTTTAAATCGGGCTATTGTTGTATCGAATTTAGACACGGTAAATTTATCGAGGTTTATACACATTATTTGAATATATGTATGTGTATATATGACTATTGTAAGTATGATTAAAAAATTGACAAGAATGGCAATTTCTAAAAAGTGGTTTAGTCTCTGTGTTATATATCTATATATATAAAATCGCAGCATAGAAATGACACGAGCTTATTTTTTAGTGATATAATATACAAAGGTGCAAACAGCAAAAAGTGCGTCAAAATTAACCATATTACTCTGTTATTCAATAATAATCTATATGTTATTGTCTTTATGCTAAACTGAATTAACTCCGAAACTGTAAGCTTTGGAAAATCGACTGTAAAAGTTTTGTACTCAAATTCGATTTTCCAAAGTTTGTAATTTATGCGGTAATGCCTTTTAGTATTGAGATTGTGATATATCGGATATAGTACAGTGTTAGTAATGTTATTCATGAAATTTTGAACTTTTCCCGTAGAATGTGTTAATTTTTTTTTTTATATTTAATAAAAGTATATCACTTGACCGGGAGGTTGAAATAGATGAAAATAAAAAGAATTTTGATTCTTCAATTATATTAGATGGGAAAATTTATTCAATTTCATGAATAGTATGTGTAGATGTGTGCATACAACTCGAAAACTTTATATTACTACTTGACTTGGGCGGTAGACTGTTTTTGTGAGATATGTTACTGCGTATTGGATGTAGTATTGAAAAAGGTTTCGAAGTTTTTGGCAGGCGTCCATATTCCTCTACTGCGGGTTTTATAATCTTTGCAATTAACCTTATATTTATGTATATATAATATATACATACGAATTGTGCATTTGACAGAGATTTTTTTTGTCTATAAATTAGAAATATTCGTTTATATCGCTAAATAGTAAATGCAATACATTCTAACTTAGGGTTTAAGTTTAGCTAGATATTTAATTAGTATTTGTAATCTTTATATCTGAGATTTTCGTCCATAGTTTTGCGTTTGACATGTATTTTGCTTTATCTAGATTTTTAGATTGTGTTCCCATACAATTTTGGATGTGTAAACTGTGAAACATATCAAGATTTAATTTTAATTAGATATTTCACATCAATCAGGGTGAAGCGGTAATAAATATATAATGAAAATATATCTGAAAATCATTGCAATGTATTGAACAATTTTTCAAAAGCATTTGTGAAAATATACATTTGTATTCATAAAATTGCATTTAAATTAAAATAATGGGGAAATACATTAAAACGGATTATATATACTTTTATTTTTATTATTGTTTCGTTAAGAAATCTTGTTATTTTCAGATGATATAAGCAGACTGTCCGTACCGAACTATATTGAAATTCAGCTTATTTCCAAAAAGAATATAAGTCTTGATATGTATCATACAATAATAAACGTTACGGAATTGTTATAAGTTACATTTTTATTAAATCATGGGCATTGTTTTAAAATGCATTTAATACCTGTATCAGAATGATTGTTGTTTGCGATTATACTATCAATAGGAAAATTAAATGGTTTGAAATGAAGAAGGTACATTTAATTTTCGAAGATACAGTTTTTTTTTAATCAGCCCCAGTTTCTATTGATTTTGTGTAAAATTTTCCAGATGTACAGTCGCGAACAGTAACGCTATTACGGAAATTGAATTTTAATTATTGCATTGCGTATTGAAAATACCATAAGTCCATGTGTTGCGCTTCTCAAATAATCAGGTTTACAATAACAGTAATGTTTGTTTTATTTCATACGCACCCGATATTTCATATTATGTTTATTTATTACTCGTAATTGTATTATTTATTGTAAATGAAAACGAATTGACTGACTTAATTATATATTTTCTGTTATCGGGAATACTTGGTTAGATTTATGCTGACCTAAAGGATGCGGGACGGGTTGACTGTTTTGATAAAATGTGCATAGTTAAATACCGTTTTTTAGCGTAATTATAAAGTTTTTTTTATACCGTCACGTTGAGACTTCGTTGATGTATGGAATATTTAAAATGCATTGAAGCGTGTATTTATTATGCAGCTATGAGACAGTTCACTTATTTTGAAGTAATTAGTAGTATAGAGACGATTGTGGAATAAATAACAAAAATAATTAGTTTAGTACAAAATTTGAAAATATTTTTTATATTACAAAAGAACATTCCGATAAAAATGTTGCGATCATCTGTCAAGATTTGTGTTTTGTTATAGTTTTGGAAGGTTATATCTCTACAGTGAAGTGACTTTCAGTTCTTAGATGAGATAGTCTAGTATTTTTTTTATCTATCTTGTATCTCGGCATGTATCTGGAGATGCTCTCCCAATTTTGATTGAAGAAAATAGCATAAACTTTTGTAAAAAAAAAATATGGTCAAGGTCGTTCTTTTTCGAAGTCGGTAAAGGTGGTATCGACGTAATATAACAATAATTAATAATTAAGACATGACAGTTGTGTTTTTATCGGATTGTTCTTAATAAAACAATATATTCAAATACCTATTTGCTATAAATAGTTAGGTAAAGACAAAGAGAGCTATATATGATTTAAATGAGTGCGAGTGAGATAACGGTGAGTATTCCCTCCAGCCTGTCCGTGTTGGGCGAATCTACAGGGCGCCAGAAACCTCGCATATTTTCCTCACTGGACATACAAAGGAGGTAGGGGCGCGGTGACAGTGGTTATAAATTTGAGTTTGACTGTCAGTGGCGAACGATGCGTTTTGTGTTGGTTGCATTGAAAATATTATATATATATATATATTTAATATAGAATATATTCTTTTATATGAAATAGGGCTAAATTTTGATTTTGATGATAATTAAATTTAGAATTGTTTTTTACATGTTGAATTGTAAGATAAGAAGAAGAATTATTTTGAAATGTTACCGTAACATTCAATGAGAAAGATATATAAAAAAAATATACAAACTCATTGGAAATTAGAAAATTTCCAAGTTAGAAATTTCTCAATCGTTTAGATACCAATTGAGCTCGGTATTTAATTTTATAATATATAATTAGTAATAAATGAATAATTTAATTTGATTCAACATTTTTTAATATTACAGTAAAAATTAAGGAAATATCAAATATTATTACAGTAAATTGAACATAACGTATCGTTCACCCACTTTTTTTCGAAACATTTTTTGTTTTGTGTGTTCCAAATTGGAAATGTGATCCAACCGATTTATAAAAACTTCGTTTATTTCGCCATATACAGAGCAATGTTGAAAAAAAATAGAAACTTCTTAATTTTACATACCATATAATTGGATCTATACTCATATAAAAATGTTATACTCATATAAAATTTTCATGTTCGGGATTTTCATTTAATGTTAGACATAGACACCTATATAAATACCTATACAGTGTAAATAAACAATTGAGTGTCTTACCAGGTCTTCGCAATTGGATCTATATACCGAACTGGACGGTAGGGGAAAAAATTATAATGTAAAAACTTGACGTTCATAAGCGGCTAAAATGTCCTACATAAATAAATGATTTTTGAATTTGACTGTACCAATGAAGTTTCTTGACTGTTCTCAACTGTAGTAGCTTAACTGAAGTAACGTAATTTTACTTTGGTATTTCTCTATCTCTGAGGGGGCAGAGAGCTAGTATATTGAATGTAGTTATAATAACTGTGAATTTGTTGTATTTTAATTTACAGGTATTTTTGAGATCTAGATCTTTATATTTTGATGTAAACACAATATTTGAAACAAGCATAGATATTTTGTTTTGCTAAAAACAATTAAATATATTGTATATTATAAATCTTATGGAATTCGAAAATACAGTAAAAGTAAGGATCTTTTATCATTTTAATAAAATACAATCATTAATAAATAATGACTTCTATTTTTATTAGAGGTTTCTGATTTTTTTTCTATTGCTCTCATTATAATACTGGTAGTAATCATGTTCTGTACTAATTACCTATTTCATTTCTTCTAATTGAATAACTGAAAAATAATATATCATTGTATATTAATAGTAACCATGTCTCCAATCTTTACTATAAAATTTTAATTTCATTGAAGTGTTATTGATTTTCTATATTTAATTTAATATAAAATCTATTTACAAGTTATAACATGGATGTTTTGTTAAATTGGATGGATTACTACATGTTCGTGAATAACATATAACAATTTGTTTTACAATTTCAACACTGTGGCAAATTTAACGTTTTTTTTTTTACTAATAATCGTGTTTTGCATTGTGCTCCTAATTACTCCTTTAACGCGAGATCCAAAGATATGAATGATAAATGTTTTAAACATAATTCAATATTAATTAATAATTTTATAAATTTTTTCTAATATACAATGGATTTTTTTAAAATTGAGTATGCATTCTTTTGTGTGTGTTGATTGTTATTTTTTTACTATGCCTGCTAGTGATATGTGGTTTATTTTCCCTTAAAATAATAATAACAAAATTAATTTTGTAAATAGGTTACGCATAATGCAATAATACTTCATCTATTGCATAAAAAAACAACTTAAATAATTTTTAGGTATATATAATTCTTTATAGTTTTAGAAGGGAACGCAAATAATAGAAAAGTATTTATTAAAAACAAAGGCCTTCAGAATAAACCTCTCAAAGTAAATGCTTTAGAAACGTCTCATTTAAGTGTACAATTGATTATTAACTACATTTTATGTCGTTTGAATGGCAAACAAGTTGATGGCCTACCTGTCGGTTATATACCTGAACAGCACCATGGCCATCACGTCATCACATTATGCCTGTGATACGCTGAGAATTAAAAAGTATATGTTCAAATACAATAACTATTAAGGTTACTTAAAGTTGCCTATAAAATGGAAATAGAATTAATCTTTATTCAAATAAACTCAGTACAAGCACTTTTGAGTAGTCATATTTTTTTTATTCTACCACTCATTCGGAACGCAGATTTATCACAAGAAGAATGAATAAGAAACTTGTTTGTTGCACTTTTGAATAAATGCTATTTAAAATTAATAATTACACAATAACAAGTAAGAGGCATGCGATAATCAACATAGAAACACCGCTACACACTCATTCGTAGTGTAATCTGATATTATGCTTGACGGATACCATATACATTCCTGCACGTATTTAAATTGAGTCAAAATAATAGTGTTGTACAAGTCGACAGGTCACGATGTTGCCAGCAAGCATTTGTCATTTAAAAAAAAAGAAAAACAGCGCTTGAATAATCGTTACACTGACATAGACATTGTAATTTTTTAAATTTATATTTTTTTAATTTTTAAGCATGTGTAGGTAATAGTAATTTGTTTTAGGTATTGAGGTAAGTTTCGTTCGTGCTTTTTATTAACGCATGGTAATATTATAATTATAATATGTCGCATACATCTTCCACTCAAATAGTCAAATAATCAGATGCATATTAAAATATTTTTTATTGTATTAGTATAGATTATAAAAATTATTTATTATTTTTCTTTTTTTATTTATACGCTACTATATGAGAGGAAGAGCGATGTGTTGCATAAAAATGGCTTGTTTTAGATGTAATTTAATTCCCATTTTGTTGTCCTGTTGTGAACATATGCATGTTGTTGTTGTTGGATTTGTAACAAGCGACCTTATTGATTGGCCGTATTTTGCTCTGAAATTATATTTTTAAATTTTTTATTATGATATTTTATACCTCAAGAGAAAATTGGAATCGTGGTTTGTCATACATGTGAGGTATTATTAGAAATATTCTCGAATATTCTTCTTTGGTATATAATTATTGGTACTTGTATTTTGGACTTTGCAAATTAATTGGCATTTAATTTTATTTTTATATGGAAAAAGAAATTATTGGTTGTTAAAAAAAGTATTTTTAATTTATTTTATAATGCATATTTAAAAGCGACTAGATATCAAATTTATTGTATATTTTGCATACGAATATCATCTTTAATTTTTCAAATAATATATTTTTTTTATATTTGATCTAAGGAGGAAAAAATCTATATTGTAATAGAGTTAACTAAAATGTATATTTTCTACTTTAAATCTTGTAAATCAAACCTTAGTTTTAAAGACAACATTTGAACGTATAATTATATTGTATATATATATTGTATATTTCACATTGAACAGAGCACCAAAATTATTAATTATAATAATGTTGAATTGTCGGCTTGTTGCAATCGTTCCGTATTGTTGAGAAGCACACCCCGTGACCGACCCACTAGTATTAGTTTTATGTTTTTCTGTTTTTAGGCCATTGGAAGGTACGACCCCGAAGCATGCCGTAGCCGCTAGTCCACAAGCCCTGCTTGGGTAATTATCATTTCTCCCTTTGTTATGTATGTCTTAATGTCATCATTTTGTGTTTAGTGATTTGTAGCATTATATTGTTGTTAGTGTTTTTTTTCTGACACCATATATAAATGTTTTGCTTTTTTTGTATGCTATGGCGATAGTTGTAGGCTGTACACTTTACAGGTAGAACATAGACTCAGAGTTGTACCATTGTCTTGTATCTAACATACCTATTGAAAAGACGTAGAATTATTGAGAAGTTATTCGTCAGTCTCACCTATTTCAGTCGCCAAACAGCTTTGCTTTGTAAGCTGTTTAGGTTGTAAGATCAAGGCAGTGCAATTGGGAATGGCAACAAATGAATAACTACTGGAACTGGTGCTGTTCATGTATATAGACGACGATAGTCACTTTACATCAGGTGGGCCGTAAGCTTGTTGCCATTTCAGTCACATGGACATATGGGAATATGTTTAATGAATTTTGAGTGCATCGTGATCAGCCAGGTCATCAGGTTATCAGCCCCGATTTAGACGGCAAGGGTAGAGAGTTCGAAACATCATGTGTAAAAGGTTATTAAGGGTCTGGATGTAAATTAAAACTAAACAAAACTATACTTATTTATAGACCATTTACAAGATACACTCACACTTGTTTTTTATAAAGAATACACAAGTTTCTTTATAATGGTGATATTATTACTTAATAAGAAATATAATGTGTTAATAACATCTTTTTTATTTATATACATAGCAAAGCTAAGTATCAAATCTTACCTCGTATAATATAAGTTTAGTGTTTTTTTTTCTCTTGTTTGGGGATGAACGTTTTGGGGTTGACATTGTATTCTTACACGGTCACAGTACAAGGTACATATAAGTATGGTTCTGCTGATATTATAAACGAAAAGTTTATCCTTCATGACATGAAGGATGGATGTTTTTTCTTCTTTCACGCAAAACCTAATAAACAGATTTGATTGTAATTTGGTACACACATAGATCATATAGATTAACGTATGATATTTTTTTTTTATATCATAGGACAAGTAGTATAAAATACTTATAGTATTACCTAAATAGACTATTATCCATATTTCTATATGTTGATGGTGATCAACACTGAAAATATCTAGACCTCCAACTTTTAATTTAATAGCAAATTAATAAATACTGGTAGATGACATTCTGAAAACTATAAACAATAATAATTATTTAACCACTTTGAGAGTTGTTTTTATAAGCTTTCTTTAGTCTACATCTTGACATTATAACACTATATAGTTTGAAAACAACATATTCTACAAAAGTCGTCCTAATTCCATCAGCGAAATTTACGTGAAACTTCAAGACAGTTTTTAAGATTTTATTTACAATTTTATTATATTAATACCATTGTGTGTGTATGATAAACAGACAGGGCAACGAGGAGCAAGTGAAGCCGCGAGTGCTTCGCTTCACGTGGAGTATGAAGACCACCTCCTCACGGGACCCCAATGAAATCATGGCGGAAATACGAAAGGTTAGTTATTTATTTACATATTAATGTATCAGATACTAAATGTGAAAGCCAATATTTATAAGTTATGTGGACGACACGATGTGGTAGAGAGGCCCAACTCCAGGGAATTTGGAAGGGAGAGGGGATTGTTACAAACGCGAGCCATTCCTTATGTTATGCGTGCACGGGGACCCCAAGGAATGGGACCTCTAGATCCCATCACTAACAATCTACTCCCTACATTATATATATTTTGGCTCTAAATTTGAAAGCAAACGATATGATGTAGTAGCGAGGCTTAACTCAAGGGATTGGGAAGGGAGAGGGGACTGTTACTAACGGGAATTCGTGACCAATGTCATGTTAGATTTATCCCCTTGAAACCAATCTGGTAAATTAACTGAGGTAGAACGTTGACGTTGGATTTGTTTTAGGTGTTGGACGCGAACAATTGCGATTATGAACAACGCGAGCGGTTCCTTCTGCTGTGCGTGCACGGGGACCCCAACGCGGACTCTCTGGTGCAGTGGGAGATCGAGGTGTGCAAGCTGCCCCGACTGTCGCTCAACGGAGTGCGCTTCAAGCGGATATCCGGTAATTATAATTCTCACGTCTGTAACGTCTCAGGACTATTCACACAGCGCCATCTAGTTTAAAGTTAAGCAAAGCTTGTGTTATGGGTTGTGTACTAGGTAACTGATATTAATACTTAGATACATTTTTTTGTACATATATACGTAATATAGATGAAAATGACCCAAAGCGTCTAATTAACTAATGTAAAGATTGTATAGTACACATGTTTGATGTCCAATGGTAATACTAATTATAACGTGTAATTTTTCAGGCACCAGCATCGGATTCAAGAATATTGCGTCTAAGATCGCCAACGAGCTCAAGCTGTGACTGCCCGGGAGCGCCCCGCGCCGCCGCCGCCGCCGCCGCGCCCCCGACCTGCCCCCGCCCGACCCCCCCGCGGTCCGCACCCCCCCCTCGCCCCCCGCGCCCGCCGCGCAGGGCCCGCGCCCGCTCGCGCCGCGCTCCCCGCGCCCGCCCGTGTCCTCGTCGGACGAGCGCGACACGCCCCCTCCGCCGCCGCCCCCGCCGCCCCGCACCGACTCCCTCCGCCTGTCCGCAGAGGACATGGTGCTGGTCGCCAACGGGGGCATGAGGACCCCCTCGGGGGCTCTGGCTCACTTCCTGGCCGCCTACACTCCGGCGGAGTTGTCCCTAGCCCGCAGCGACTACCTCCGCCCCCCTCTCTCCCCCAGTCGGTCCACCGTCTCCTCCGCTCAGATCCATCCCCGCTCATCTCTTTCCTTGCGGGCGGAGAGCGCGGACGTCGACGACGGTGCCAGGCTGCTCCGCCCTAAGATGCCGCATCAATCCTACTCCTACAGCGTCCACACTCTCAGGCGCCAGCATCGAACCCGCTCCCCTCCCTGCGACTGTCTCCCGGTCGATCCGATTCCCCCTCCCGAGCTCTTCGATTTTTAAAAGTCACTGCTCAATTTCGTCGCTGACTTTCGTGATCGATTCTGTTTTTGAATTTATATCGACTTTGATAATTTTAAATTTAAAAATGGAATCGCTCATTTTGTATCTATGAAGTTGTTTTCTGAACTGTCGAACTTATTGTAGGTAATGTTGTAAATTAGTTCGATTTTTAAATTTGTCGAACGCTAACCGCGCAGTGTTGCACTGTTGTCGACGAAGGTTTCTCTCAAAGCGTACCTACATAGTGATGTAACAATGATTGACTCGTATGTCGATAGTTGGACATTCTAATGGTATAATGTGCCAATGAGGACTCAGGAAGAAATCGCGCTCGGAAGCGTACAAGGTTAATTCGTGTATGTTTATTGTAACTTAATTTAATGTTTAGTTGAATTATGCGAATCGCTCTCAATTTTACGCCACTTGTAATATAGTTTTACTCATGAATTTTTATTCTTTGCCCCTTATGTAGATATGTAAGTTGACTGATCGGTCGACGATACCGCACGTCCCGTTGTTTTTTATGTATTTTTCCTGTTTATTTATATCGATATATTCTCGATTAGTTTCATCGTTGCACGGAATAATGTTTTTCTAAAAGACATTTTGTTTAGTGGGCCACGAGCGGTACCATCGACCCAGTAGGATCGTTCGTGCTATGGCTTACCATATAATAATACGTATTTTTATCTTGTAATAATGTACAAAGTGAGTTCGCGCTCAACAGATACAATTTAGCGTTAGTTTATTAATTTTAGTGTTCTTTTCCAATTGTAATGACAAATATAAATATACAAAAACATATGGCTGTCGTCGAATAGCGATATAACTGTTCATATTATCGGTATAGTAATTGTACTGTAAGTCTGTGTCGAGCGACCGGTTTGTGTTGGCACGCAATGTTATGGATGCTGCGAGGGGCCGTGTTTCAAGATGAACTGGTCGGTCGGCGGTGGCGCGGTCGCCCATTGCATTCTTTCTAATTGTAAGGCTGGATTAGAAAGTGTCAAAAGTTCTCTATAATGTTACAGGTTGAAATCACAATCTAGACTCTAGCTATAATTACACTAAATAAAAAAATATATATAATGAAATAATTATTAGATGTGTAATGTATTTGTGATCAAAGTATTATGGACTTCGTAGTTACATAGCAATAACGTTCATAATTGTAACTTTATTTCTAAATGTAATCAGCCTTCATTTTTTTTGTAAGTAACCGTTTTTTTGTGATTTGGTGTGATGCTTTTTTTTCTGTATTCGTGTGTGACATTTTCGCATACTAGATCTTAAATATTTAACGTAAGATTGGATGTGCAACGCAATGCGGTGACCGTGGACATTTTCTATTATTATATTTAAGTGTAGCGCTATAATTTTACATGGAATCACAATTATACACATACAGACACCTCGGTCGGTCATTGTCGCGCTGTCGGAACAAACCATGCATATATTGTCAAATTCATCTCTCATGAAATGTAATTGTATTTATAATTTTATTTATGTAAAAAGATTAATACCCAATCTTCAAAGCTTGTTTTATTTATTTCTTATTTATGAACCAAGTGGATAGTTGTATATAGATAAATATTTAATGTTTTGTAGTGGTTTTTGAACGTGTTTTCAGTAAGGATACGGTTTTACGGTATCGTTATATAGGTACAGGTAATGCAGTTGATACGTTATTTCCTTACAAAGCTTGTATCTCTATTGCTATGATTAAAGTGATGTAATTTATCGATAATACAGTCTATGCATTTCACATCTCTACAGGTGTCAATGAACTCGCAGTGTCAATTTTGAAGCAAATATTTTGTTAAATATGAAATACGTTGTAATTAAAACTTATATGCCTACATGAGTATTTACTCGTAACAACAGGATGTTAACGGAGAAATTGTTTTTCCAAAATAAGAATTTATGGTTTTTACTTACTGAATAATTGTAATACGAGATCATATAAAACGCATTTATAAATAATGACTGTGACCACGCATGAGTTATAGATATTTCTCAAATGGAATTTTTAACTGAAATGGTTTAATACAAAGTCGTTATTCGTTAGTCGTTAAAACCCGTTAAAGAATTCTTAAATCTATACATTGATTTTCTTACATAAAATTAAATATCTAATTTAATTTAGTCGATGTCGTGATACAACTTTCAAGATTATCAATGTAGTCGCCTTACATTAAAAATTTATAACCACAGAGTAGTAAAAGCTGTTAATATTTTTATTATATTTGAACTTGCTCACGTTCAATGAAATTCTGTTCCCATATGAATATATTACAAAATGCATACAAATTAAAGTAATAAAATATTTCTATTCTTTTTGACTATTTAATAGAAAAATTTTTCATCTTTTAAATGCGTTACCTGATTTTTATAGTACAATGTCGATATCGAAAATGACACAACACTACACATAGATGTATCAAATTATAGATAATATAATGTTTGTGCTCTAATTAATTATTAATCTGTAAGAATTTTACATTTCGATGGCGCGACGTCGCAACAACTATGATATCTGTTTACATATGTAGTGATATATGAGCTTTGTTTTATTGTATATAAGCAGTGGCATACAATCGATTAGTCTTACGATTAAACTAAATTGACTATATCAGTTCAGCTTCTCAGGTTTAGGCTATGCATCACGAACGTAGCGTCTATAAAAAGTATAATACTAGCCATCGTGTAAATATAGTGGTCTCTTTTATTCATCTTGTATTTTTCTAATTACATATTCTAACAACAGTATTTTAATATTTTTTTATTGTGCACAAAATACGAAGTGTATAAAAAGTTTTTTTTTCTTGGATGAGTAATGGAATGATGCACTCGCCTGCGCTAATGGTCTACGTCGGGGCACCAGTGGAGGATAGTAAAATGAGCATGGGGTCTGGTTAGATTTAACATGATGGTTTCCAGGGGGAAACGCGTTGTCAAGCTGACATGGTACATTGCTACAATGGGGTGCATCATGATAAATTCCTTATGGTTTGTCACGATGGGCTAACTAACCTAATCTCATGTTCTTATCATCCTCCACTGCTGCCCCGCCCGCGTAAACCGTTAGTGCAGGCGGGTGCAACAATCCATTATCATCCATTAAAATATTCTTATACGCGCTAATAGTAACTATCTGACGATTAATCGGTTGTAAGCCGCTGCTCCACTAGGGTGTCGGGCCGTCATCGGGACGACATGTACGGTACGTTGTTTTTGTGAGATAATTAAATGGAAATAAATTTTATTTTTAATTCCATGCCTGATATTTATTCTTATTCATCCGAAATCTTTCAATTGGCTGTGAAATTACTGGGCATAGGGGTAGATACCCTCCGGACATCTGACTTTATCAACTTTTAATAATAATAACTCAGGACAATTCACACTCGTTATCTAGTCTAGTCTCAAACTAAATAAAGGTCATGCTAAGTGTATTAACATTATAAATAGAAAACACCAAGCAATCAAACTTATAAATAAAATGTCGCGCGAGAATCGAACTCACGACCATCACGAGTAATAGTCTATAATATATTAATTTTGATATAAAATTACATTTATAATAATGTATATGTTTACAGTTGTAATTACCCCAGTTAAAATATATATGTACATTTTATAATCACATTCTAATCATATCACACAAAGATGTGTTTAATATTTGTCAGGAAAATTAATTTCTCTCTTACAGCTTGACAGCTTGTAGGTATCCCTCCTCCGACCTCCAACTAAATACAACCTTGTTTTTGATCGATATTATGAAAATAAAAACAAAATAACTAGATACTTATAAATATTTTATTTATAACAATACTGTTATTCTATATCTAATATTTACATTAAAAACAAGTAAAAATAAATAATACGTAAATGTTAAATTACATAGACTTTAGCATTAAAATCTCTGTTAGGTACAAGGTACGAGAAAAAACTTAAAAATACTAAAACTAGAATTTGACTGGATACAAACTGAAAACTTAACATCCATCAAGATTATAATTTATTTGTTACAATACTGAAAAATTTAACAATAACTAATAACAAAAATCTATTTACAAATAAAAATTCGGACTTTGCAAAGCATCGAGGCAAAACACCAATCTGTTATAACTTCATCACAACTACTCATGAAACTATTATGATTACAGGATTTTTAAGTTTGCGAGTTCACTTTGCTTATCCTATGGCGAAGTATTGAAGACTATTAAAATCGTCAAATAATTGACTTACAGGAATAATGAAAACTGGCAATGTATATTCGGATGAGTATTTTACGAAATTTTATTCCAAATATATTTAATTGCTAAATTCATCAATCATCTGTAGTTAATGTATCACAGTAGAAAAGAAAAAATACAAGAATAAATAATAGTAGTTTAGATTCATATCTTACAAAATAAGGCGGCAAGAGTTTTATTTTTGTTGCTCTTTCTTCACAGGTATCCCATCCAAGTCTACTTCTGTACTAGGTATCAAAGGTGGTTTAAAACCATACTCAATCTTCAAATTGTTTATTCTTGGCGTTCTGTCAGTCCTCCTTAGTTTTAGTTCAACTATGTAATTGTTATTTTTCTCCCATGAGTCGTCGTAATTCTTCATAGGCGGCGGTCCATAGTAATAATATGGATTTTGTGTATTTGTAACAAACGATAAATAGTTGACTAAGTTAGGCGTCTTCTTGAACTGTTGGACTTCATATGTGGGAGTACTGTTTATGTATTGATACGATGACGCGTACTGATTACCCCATTTTGTAGTCTGAATTGAGGGTTTACGTTTTTCATCCAAGTTTTGGTGGTACGCCTGAATTTGCTGTTGTTTCTTTTGGTCTTGTATTACTTGCTGTGTTTGTTTTGTTTTCTGTAGGTGTATCTGATTTGGTGGCATGTTGCCTTGATTTTGTTGTTCCGATCCTGTGTGTATGTATTTTATGTACTGAGGTACATTTTGGGATTGCTGTGTGTGTTGGAAATTGTTAAAGTGATTATGATTTGCAATGATTTTGTTAGGAACATTTGGATTGTGATATTGGACAGGTAAATGTACAGGTTTCTCCACAAATCTCTCAACCGGATAAGGTACTCTAACTTCTACAGGTACTTGGACCGGATAAGGTACTTTCTTCTCCACAATCTTTTCAACCGGGTAAGGCACTCTTTTTTCAACGGGATACGGTTTGTCAATATACTTGGTTACAACAACTGGCTTTTCTATAATTTTTTCCACCACTTTCTCTACTGGATATGGAACATTAATAGGTACCTTTTTCTCGACTATTCTGTCAACTGGTACAGGATAAGGAACCTTCTTCTCTACAATTCTATCTACCGGATAAGGATGAGGCACGCGGACTTCAACAGGAACAGGATGGTGAACCGGTACTTGTACGTGTACCGGTTTTTCAACAACTTTAGTAATCGTTACTGGTTTTTCAACTATCTTTTCTACCGTTACTGGTACCCTCTTTTCTACCGCATATGGAACTGGAACTTTAGTTTCCACCGGGACTGGGTAAGGAACTTGTCTTTCGACTGGATAAGGCACTGGAATTTCCTTTTGCACTATTTTCTCTACAGGAACTGGTTTCTCTACCTCTACTGGATACGGTACCGGGGTTTCTATTGGAATCGGGTATAAAACTTTTTGTTCAACTGGAATTTGTACTTCATATGGTATACCAACTGGTGTTGGGACTGGTATTTGATGTACGATTTGTTTCTCAACAAGCTTTTCTATCGGGAATGGTATATGAACTGGGCGATCAATAAATACTTTATGTTCAACTGGATAAGGCACTTCTACCGGTATTGGGTAAGGATGAAGAACGGGATACGGTTTATCGACGTACCTAGTTACCTCTACTGGCTTTTCCACTACCTTTTCGATCGGTATTGGAACAGCAACCGGCCTATCGACCTCAACATGTTTAATTACTTCGACTGGTTCAGGGTATGGCACTTGTTTCTCAATATATCTATCAACAAACTTGGTTACTGGTACTTCTTTTTCTACTATTATAGGCTGAATGATTTTTTGTCCATATTCATTAAAGTAGTTTATATATTCACTTCTCTCATTATTGTCTTCGTTAGCTTTAATTTCAACTTCTGACCTAGTATTACTGCTAGTTTCTAATTTTTCTTTTGAATCATTCTCGTTATCGTAGTCTTGGTTTTCATTACTATCCTCATTCTTTGCCATACCATATTTATACAGTATATTATTCATGCTCTTCTGAATCTTTTTAGAAGATTCAAGAGCATCGATGTATTTATTGTATAGTTTTTGAGCTATATCTAAAGTACCTTTGTCATTACTTCTACCTTCTTCTAAATATTCGTGCACTTCAACATCGTTTATATGAGTAATGGACACAGGAAGCGATTCATGGACTTCGACGATTGTTTTCTCTTTCTTAGGATTTTGGATGATGTCCGTTATAAACTCACTATCCGCTGTTTCATGATCTTCAACGGAATTGAAATTTCCCGATTCGTTAGCATTTAACAGCCTTAAAGCAACTGTTATTGGTGCTAAATATTTCTGCGCGATTGGCCTTGGAGTGACATCAACTGTATCTCCGTTAGAATTATAATCTACATTACTTTGACTATTTATATTTTCTTCGTATTTTTTCTGCTCTTCCAAATTATTTCTAATATTGACAATTTGGTACCCATCTTGTAAATAAGGCACCATAGTTGAAACTAAATTATTTACTATTTGCTTTTTATTATTGTCATATGAAGAGTCTGGTACAACTATAGGCGATGCAAATTTATATTCATTAGAACTGGTCTGCAAAATCTGCTCCTTTGATTCATCGTTTCCTACTTGTTCAATTTCACTCTTAAGAATATTAGCTATTTTAGCTTTCACCGTAACTTTGTTTCTTATTGAATTCATTTGATCATAACTTTCATGGCTATTGTGTTCCCTCAAATTTGACCGTGGTTTGATAATATCATCGTTCTGTGCATTAACATGTTTTTCTGCTGCGTGGTTTATTTTTAATAGATCCTCATTTGAAATAAGATCTTGTGTTGAAGCAACAAGTTTCGTTATACCTTCATTTTTATCAGACTGTACTGAACGTTCTGTTTCCGTAGGAGTAGAAGCAGTTGAATAGTAGTAATATCTCTCACTTCTAGCATTATCTCTTGGTGATTCTACCCTAAAATGTACAGCTCCTCTGTAAGTCAGGGGTCTTTCAGTTCCATCAGTCGTACCAAAATTGATATTTCCATTAAGGGCTTCATATTTCGGTGCTTCGGCGAATAACTTCGTCGCTTTTTGTGTTTCATTAACCTGTTTCGATTCTGAAGCATTCTCATCATTTGTACAGTTATGATCTTTAAATACTTGTACTACAGATGATGAATAAGCCTCATGAGACTCAGTGGTTTCCTCTATTTTAAGAGGAGGTGAGTTTCCGTTCTTCGGTGCAGTGTTTTGCGTTTGAATATTATACAATGGGGTAGTTAATATGTTATGATAGATGTAGTTAGGGGAACTGTTGTACTGAATATCGTTGTTGGGTCCAGCTGTTGGGAAGATCTGAACAAGATGGTTCTGTTGGGGGGGTGAAGGGAATTGTTGTTGTAGAAGATATATCTCGACTGGCTGGGATGTGCTGTGAGCTAGTGGGGCCGGCGTTGCATTGATAGTCTGGTACACTTTGGGAGTCTGAAATGAACCAATACACATAATATGAAGTTTTTTTATCTCACAACAATTCACACAGTGCCATTTACTCGCAAGTTTAGCTACCGAAAGCTTGTGTTGGTAATGGGTATCAAATAACTGATAAATACATAGATATATATTTGTTTTCGTCAACAGATACATATTTTATATAGAAAACACCAAAACCGATATAAACAATTATACTTAAGAATACAAATGTTTGTACCATGCGAGGAATCGAAGCCGCGACCATCAGTAAAGCGGTGTGCTAAACCGCTAAAATATATGATACAAGTATTAGTATGGTTACCTCATGTAAGTTGATTTCTGCCGCGTTCCCTCCTAAAGCAACGCTGGTGGCTTGTGCGTGGTGACCGTCGCTGGTGTTGACAGCCACTGCTCCGTGGTAAACACCGTCGGCCGGGTACTGGACATGTTGTTCTGCCTGCGTTTGTACATACTATAAGTTATTAAATAGCTGACTTGCAACATCATCTGCATCACACTTGACATTTATCATAATTTTTCTCCCAATTTACATATCTTTTTAAATTATTGCCTATATGTTATTCTGATATACAAGCTATATTACGTAAAATTTCATCAGAATCGGTTCTACATTTTTTGCGTTAAAGAATAACAAACATCCATCCATCCATACTCACAAACTTATTATAATATTAGTAAGTAGTTGTTCCACCTGCGTGAAATTTACAGCCTGTGTCTTACACTAATAGGTATATAAGCCTATAGTTATATAGGCTTATATACCTATTAGTTAGTTAATAGCTAGATAGCCTATAGCTCTATAGTTTCATCAAAATCCGTTCAGTTTTAGCTTAAAATAGTAACAAAAATCTATCCATCCATGCTCACACTTTCGCAATCACAATATTAGTAACTAGCTGTTTAGTAGTTTCACAATATTAGTAGCAAGCTGTTTAGTAGTTTCACAATATTAGTAGCTAGCTGTTTAGTAGTTTCACAATATTAGTAGCTAGCAATATTAGTAACCGCGGTTTCATTCGCGTGAAATTTATGGTTTATTGGCTCTATAGTTTCATCAAAATCCGTTCAGTAATTTTTACGTCAAAGAGTAACAATCATTCATCCATCCAAACTGTATGTAGAGTATAACTTTCGCGTTTATAACATTAGTGATTATTACATTTGTACCTACTAATTCCTCTGCGTGTATACTTCTGTCTCACCTATTTATTGAGAGAAATAGGTGAGACAGAAAACTAAATGGGTTAAAAGAGGGTTGTTACCAAAAATGGACAGGAATAAAAAAAGTAAAGGATGTTAAAAAATTGAGGAATGAATTGATTACTTACTATACAAACGATATTTTTAATTACATATTTTTAATGTATATTATACATACATATAATATTGAATTGTCTGTTTGTAATTTCAAATTAACAGCTTTAACATTAAATGCATATGAAAGTTGTCTGTGTATTTGTTTCCTATTTAATGTGCCATCAGCATCTATATCATTTCAATTATATAAAAAAATCACGTGTCAATTGTCAAAAAAAAAATATATCATATAATTCTGATAGCCTCGGGGTCTAACCGTTTAGAACATCACTTTACCGTAGCGGGTTTGATTCCTGGCACAGCGAAAATATTATTCATAAGTAAGATTGTTTATCTGCATATTTTCTGTATACATAGAAAACATCATGTATACAGAATTTATACAAAAAATTAATGTATATTTACAAATTATCAGTGAGTAGCACCCATAACACTAACTTTACTTAACTTGTGACTAGATGGCGCTGCGTGAGTCTGTTCCTGTGTTATTATTAGTATCATTGAGGTTTTCTTTTTAATAATATTAGTTTGGATTACCTGAGGTAGCTTGACATAGTAATGTCCAACGGTACTGCCATCTTTGGGGGTGAGTCGCCAACCCCACTCGAAACTAGTGCCGCCCTGTTGAACCCGCTGGAACAATAAAAACATATTGTATTTTAAATTATAGTACTTCTTTCCACTAATTAAGGTTCAGCATTAATTAGTGGAAAGAGTTATCAATATTATAAAAAGAAATACAACAAAAATTATTTTAAAACAATTTGCCATTCTGTCCGTTTCTCTAATCTCTGTAACAGCTGGACCGATATTGACGGGACTATCACTCGCAGATAGATAAGCGGAGGTGTGGCGAATCTACTATCATCGTGCGGCAACACCGTTGCCTAGTTACGATGGGACAAGAAGAATAACAAGCTTGTCATTCGAGACCGAATCATCTTTCTTGTATATATATTCATTGTAAATACTTCTATATTATAAATATGTAAATAGTCACGACTGGTTTCTCTTCACCTCCATCTTCCTGATGCTGCTTCTACACGAACACAAACATAAATAATAGCGGCCCCACTTACCCGCTAAACATCTATATCTTCTATTATTGTATAAAGCAAATAAAGCATATTCCATCTATCTATCCCTATATGTGGCAAATAGATGTAGTCGTTCTAGTGTAATGCGATTACGTACATTCGACAATTGACTTCTATCATTGTTGAATGAAAATAAAACTTATTCTATTTATCTATCTATCTATATTATACAAGTAGACGTAGTCGTTCTAGTATAATGCGATTATGTACGTTCGACGAATTACTTTAACTACATTATAATGCAAATGAAGCATATTCTATCTTTTATATCTATCTTAATCTATTTGTCAGATAGATGTAGTCGTTCTAATATAGTGCGATTACGTATATTCGGCAATTGATTTTTTTTATTTATGAATGTATAATGTATATCATATAATTATATTATAGCTTCTGGCGTTGAGCGCGTGCGCGCATTATCGCTCGTCCTACAAACATGGTAATAAATATATTGATAACTTCCATATTCAATATAATTATTGTAATTAACTCTCACTTCGTTGCGTATTATTTATGTAATATATATTCCGCGTTTTTTTATATATATAAAGCATTAGCACTGATGACTCAGTAGCGTGTGTAGCTATAGTTTTTTACAGTGTGATGGGTTCAATAACTCAATGGAACCCATCACACTGTAAAAAACTGTTTTTTTTTATCATTCAATCATAATAATCGGATTGCTTATAATAGAATGTCAAAATAAAAAATATGGTCTATGTATAATATGTATGTATTTACGAAACAAAAAAATATATCTTTAGTAACAAATTTAAGTTATAAAATAACACAAGCTTCAGCTAGCTTAACTTGGGTCAAGATGGCGCTGTGTGAATTGTCCTGTGATTATTTTATTATTACTATGTTCCAATAAATGACGAGTATTATATCAGTTATTAACAACTATTTGTAAAAATAACAATTTATAATTTTAACATAAATTAATTATATTTACTTAACATTTTTGAATATGGGAAAGGAGTTTTTGAAGTCGAGCTTATTGTTTTACTTGAAAGTTTAAATGTACTGTCACGGTCATAGGGCCATTTTTTTTTATTGAAAAAATATCTGTAATAAATAATAGGGGATGAAAGTTTACGTAGTTCAATAGTAGCAGGCAATAAGACATAAATTGAAATTGAAAGTAACACATGTCGTTCATATTAAAGCGCAGCGCCGAGGAAGCCCAGGGCTCGGCATCCAGTTTGTGGCATGTGTATCTGTCAGTCTATATATGCGAGTAAAACTTCGGAACTAGACGGGTAAAAGTGGTGCGCTTAGAAAAAAGGTAGCGATCGAAAGTGGCCGCGCTGGACGCGGGATCTTGTTAAACAAAGTCACTTTCCAATTATGATATGCTTTAGCTTATATTTTAGCAATCCAAGTTATCTATGCTATTTTATGTTGCTATGGTATACACATGAATACAAATGTTTGCATCGTGGAATCGAACCCGCGACCATATAAAGTCAAGCTGAGTGCTAAACCCCTGGACCACTGAGGCATCTGGTATTCAAGGTGTTGTTACGATGGGGTAACTGACCTGACTGCTCATCCATCAGGTGAGCCACAAACTCGTTAGTCCTGTGCTATAAAAAAATCTACCTTTTTTCTTTCACCCTTTCTTACTTTATTATTATTAAATTATTGGTACAGTTACTTAGGCATGTCCTTCTCGCTACTTATACGGGTGAAAAGATTTTAGTGGCAGAATTAGTTTATATTATCGTTCAAATATTGATTAAAGAAAAGATCTACAGAAGAAGAAAAGAAAATGCGACCGGAAACTGCGAAGATAACGTAAAGAATTAATAGTACGCCGCGCCACAATTCCGTTTTCATCCATAAAAAAAAACTGTCACATTCATTGTGACATAACTGCATCATAGATATTCTATGCACCGGAAACGACGAACAGGAAGTGCTGCAAATACGCAAATCAGATGGAAAACAATATAGCGAGCGGCAGCTATACAACAAGAGAAAGTCGAAGGGACTGTCTTGCACGCCTATATGCACCTAGTTACGCTGTATCTAGTGCATTTTCGCGGTGAAACTGAGAATCAATAATATTAAATTTAATCTTACATTAGCAATACTGTACAGATTTCAAGTTTCCTATGTTTTGAATGCAATTACTATATCTTATACATAAAATTCTCGTTTCACAAGGTTAGTTACTATATTCCTTCGAAACCGCTTGACCGATTTTTATTAAATTTTATAGGCATATTCAATAGGTCTTAGAATCTGCTATTATCTATTTTTCATACCCCTAGGTGATATACGGGTTGTCCACCCCTAATATTTTATTTTTTATATATTTTTCATTTCTAAATACATACAAACCTAAATTTCACCATCAACCCCTATTTTTTAATAGCGATTTTAATTCAGCGGGATCAGCTAGTATATATATATATATAAAACCCTTTTTTTCAACATTGTTCATCGATGCTCAGCGCCTATTGGTCGCAGCAACAGCAGGTTGGTGTTGTTATATAGCCTTCCTCAATAAAAAGATTTTTTTTCTTATGCATGCTAATGGAATGGTGCACCCGCCTGCGCCAATGGTTTACGCCGGGGAGTACGATACCAATGGAGTACGATAGGATGAGCATGAGGTCAGGTCAGTAAGCCCATGACGGTAAATTCACCATGATTTTATCACGATGGTTTATAGGGAACCGCGTGGAGGTCAACCTGACATGATACAATGCTAGCAACAAGGTTATTAGTCCACATTATTAATGATCCCCTCCACCCCAACTACCATATATTTGACACACACAAGCATATATATTTTTATGTTTATGTTAAAGACTTTGGTCAAATTGAAAATAGATAAATATTGTACGTTTAATATTATTTGTTCTAACTGACTGACTCATAACAAAACATCAATATTGTTAATTATCAAATCAGCGATCGATTTGTTTAGGAATGTAATTCTTCTATTCTTTCTATATAATTTGTTTAGCAATACGTGAAGAAAGTTTGGTTTTTCTGTCTACTCTAATGTGTTAGCCGCAGCTGGCCTTTACAGCTTCACCGGACGATAGAGATAGATACGAGTGCAGATAGCACTCCAAACCAAAGAAAGGACTTACGGAGCGGCTGAAGGCCAACTCTCGCCTGACGGATACGACTTTAGTCTGAGGTTACCGCTAGGGGTTCGAATCTCGGCTCAGGCCGCCAATTCGATCCCCGCTTGAGTTGGACGGGGGATCGACCTTCTTTGACAATAGACTTACTAATGTTCAAACTTATAATTTAAATTTATTTATAGTCGTGTCGAGTCCATTTAATATTAAATAAGTTGATATAAGCAAGTGCCCTTATGTTACATAATGAATTCGTGAAGCTCATGTCAAACCAGAACAGGTTTGTCCGCTCAGCTGGGAGAAAGTGCTTGCTATTATGCTTCAAAATATAACGATACAAAATTAAATGTACGTTTGTTACTCATTATATATAGCGAGATGTGGAGCAAAACGTTTCTGTGGTAAAGGTCATAGATATAAAGATGTAGTCGACGGTGGATAATGGACAGTGCATTCATGTATGCGGAACTTACGTTTGAATATAAAATGTGTAATTTCTAATGATATTTACAAATTATACATGCTACTAGCTGACCCGCTCAACTCCGTCTGCATCATTACTTAACATTTATCATTACATTTCATACAATTTACATAATATTTTTTTTAATTATAGCCTATGTGTTCTTGTGATGTATAATCTATATTATTGTAAAGTTCCATCAAAATCCATTTAGTAGTTTTTACGTGAAAGAGTAACAAACATCCATATATACTCACAAAATTTCGCGTTTATAATATTAGCACAGATAACATAATATTACATAATATTAGTAAGATTATCAGTAGAAGACAGTTTGAATTTAATATCGTCGTCGTTGAATTTTTATTGTAAAAAGTTACCGAAATAAAAATTACGTATTTGTATTCATTGTTTAGTACAAATAACACAAACTTGCTTAGCTTAGAACTAAATGGCGCGATGGGTGTGAATTCTCCTGGATTATTATCGTATATATAAAATTCTTGTGTCACGTTAGTTGTCAAAACGGCTTAACCAATTTTTATGAAATTTTATATACATATTCAGTAGGTCTGAGAATCGGCTACTATCTATTTTTCATTCCCCTAAGGAATATAGGTTTTCTAACCCTAACCCTAACCTTTTTTTTAAATATGGTATTGTAATTACTCAAACTCGAGCACTATTGCCCGCTAACTACCACCTCTGTCACAGCGTTAGGTTGACAGGAAGAGATCTCTTGCAGGGATAAGCCCACCCTTGCTCACATTTTTGTATAACCATTTTAACAACTTTTTATTTTATAGTGATACAAGTGCAATAAAGTATATTTACTTTATAAAATACACACAACCCTAAATTTTTACCCTACTAGCATCAACCCCTATTTTTTAATTTATATGGTAAAATAAAAAGTTGGAGTCGTGTCGTATCAACAGCTAAAAGGACTGATAGAAGATCGTGGAAGATGGCGGGAGCTCCACCGACAAGAGCACAGCTCTTAAATTATGAATGAATGAATGAATGGTAAAATAATGTTTACAGCTGGTTATTTATATTTTCTATTCGCAGTATAAAGGATAGCAATAAGGATGTACAAACTCTAATGCACTTTGCTTACGCCATCACTTTGTGCAACAAGGTATTTGATATTCCGTAATAAATTCGTCGATTTAACAATATTTATATGCCAAATAGTATCCCTGGTCAATTAACACGACGCCATCTAGTCCCAAGGTAAGCAGAGATTGTGTTATGGGTACTTTATTTTATGTCTCGAGGGAAACCAGTGTTGTGTGGGGGGAAAGGGGATTGTTAGTAATGTGGAAATAACCCCATTATTAGCAATGCACCATGTTAGGTTGACCTCCACGCGGTTCCCCCTGGAACCATTGTGACAAATTCTTGGTGAATTTATCACGATGGGCTAACTGACCTGACATGTTCATCTTATCACTGTCCACTGGTGCCCCGCCAGCGTAAACCGTTAGCGCATGCGTGCTACATTCCATTATCATCCATAAAAAAACCAGTGTTGTGCTAATTATATGGTCTATATTAGCACTCAATCAAATGAGATTTTGAGACATCAAACTAACTCTAATAAGATTCTTCATTCTGCATTCTTTGGTTATTTTTTCTTATTATAATTCTTATATTATTATTTTTTTAGTGGAAATTATTTCACTAAACTTACACTTTTAATTTTGTTTTTATTCTAGTTTTAACGGCCTCGATGGTCTAGTGGTTTAATACACAATACAAGTCTGGTCCCAAGTCATGATCCTAAATGAACAAATATATTGATGGTTTGATGGGAAAACATATAAGTCTGTAATAGACATTTTTTAGTTATATGTATATATTAGTTTGGCATCCCTATCAAGATTGTAAAAGTTAGCGTCGGATTCTATGGCGAGAATAATTTCACGACTTGACATTGTAAGGTAAAGAATCGTAAAAGACAATAGAATATATTGTTATAATAGAAATTTCAATGTCAATGTACGTACTCGGTCACAAAATTAAACGGAGTTGTTCAGTTAATTTTATGACTGAGTACTTGAGTTGAGTGACTGAGAGACTAAAAGTTTAAGATTTTTACTTAGATACCGCTTTGTTTCCACGGTTACCACTTACCATCAGGTGGACGGTTAGTTTCTTTGATGTTAAAATTAGAAATAAAAAACAGCTGTAAGTATACTTACTGTGCTTGTGTGCTGAGTCCACGCGTGGGCAGAGACACTAAATACCGCCAACAATCGCACCCACTGCAGAAAAAAAAAATATTCATGTTTGAAATTTTGACAACTGAGTTCTATCCTCCCAAATTTGAATTTAAAAATGAATCTGTATTATTGTAAACATTCAAATTGAAAAGAATACGAGCTGAGTGTCGATTTGACATATCATAAGAGTATGTAATAGACGTACATAAAGATATTTTGAATTTGATTGTTTTACGATCTCGGCGGTTTAGCGTTTTAGTACATGGGTTCAATTTCTCACAAGATGCAAACATTTCTGTTCTCGAGTATGATTGTTTGAATTAGTTTGGGTGTTTTCTATGTATATTTTGTATGTATTTGCAAAAAATCGACGTAGTTATATATATACGTATATGATATATGTATTTAAAAAAAAAACAATGTATTTAAGTGTTTCTATCATTTATACTCATAACATAAGCCTTGCTTAATTCGAGACTAAGCGGTTCTGTGTGAATTCTCTACTATTATTATTATAATCTAACTTTATAAATTAACTACGAACGTACTAAATACGATAAGCCTATTAAACTTGGATTATACGAAACTAAATCCTGTCAGGATATACTTAGAGCAGCTTTTTCAACCTCTCGCTATGTAAATACAGCGAAAATGTTCATGTTGGAGATTATAAACTTTCATACGCATAAAATAATTTACAGATATTTGCATACAAGTCCTAGCACCCTATTTCGCTCTAATTTAAACTAGGTGACACTGCAGTTTCACTATTCACTTTCTCGTATTTGGAACAAGAACAAGTTCTATGTATTATCTAAAGCTGCGCTAGCAGGCTGCTACCAGGTTTGGCTAGGCAGCGAGAGAAACACGAGCCGTAAAGGTGAGTGTTGACGTAGGTCGGCAAGGGGCCTTAAACCTACACCCGGGTCACGAGTTCCGGGAACTGCTTGGAGTTTCCCTCTCTACCACACAATGGACCCCGCACCCGTAAGGTGAATCCATGGTGAAGTAATGGTGAGAAGGTCATCTCTCTCTTAGAAGGACAAGGTTGTTTACAGCTGTTCTTATGTCGCCAGTTTGGACATGTCTAAAGTGATCCGTGGGGGAAGCGGATTTTTTTTTAAACTAGGGTATATCTACTCCGGATGTATGGCAATAGCAACAATAGGGTCTTCTTTGATGACATTCCTCTTCCGGGGGAGGTGATTAGTAATCAAATCAAATCAAAAGTAATTTATTCATGTAGGACATTATAGGCGCTTATGAACGTCAATTATTAATATGTTTTCCCTACCGTCTATGCCGTCTAATGTGGACTAATGATCTGCTAGCATTGTACTTACTGAACTGAACTCCTCGCGTTTCCTCCTGGAAACCATCGTGATAAATTATTAGTGAATTCGCAACGATGGGCTAACTGACCTGAATTCATTCTACTCGTAAACCGTTAGCGCAGACGGCTGCACCATTCCATAGGCATACAATATTTTTAATTATTTTGTATAGCTTTGTAGACATGTGATGTGAGTTTAACACGTCTAAAGTTTTAAATGCCTTTTACCATCCACCTAGAACCACAACTAAGACAGTTTATTATAATTATTACTTAAACAAAAAATTACCATGTTTTCTCGCCAGTGCTGAATCCAAAGTTCGCTTTGTTTTTTCTTTGAAGACGAGTAACTACAACAAAAAATATTGTTTTTTTTATTTATATTACATTTATTTTTCGTAAAAAACTAAAATATATCTTATGATATTCAAAATTTATTACTATAGGTACGTTCCAACAGCGATCGGACAATAATTACACCGTGTTGTGTAGAGATAAATCTTGTTATTACGGTGTGTAGTAATTTAAAATAATTATTGTAGTATTATATATATCTGTAAGACGAAGACGAAGACAAAAAAAATTGCTAATCAAAAAGTATAAATAAAAATTTATAATTTACATTCCTTAGACATAATTAAGTCCATATTTAAGCAACAGTTTTTAATACACAAAAATGTAGACTGTCTGTCTTGTGCATAAAAGCAGACTTGTCACTTAGAACAAAATAAATTTTGTATTAAACTGTAAAAACATTTTTTTAGCACCGCGCATATTTTGGCTGTATATACAATCCCGCGACACTTGAACCAAAACCCATTATGTGAAAAAATATGCATGTTCTTTTTTTGAATTTGTATTAAAAACTACATACACTAATCATATAATACTTAATGTTAATTACTCTGTGCACAAAAGCCATTTGCCTCTTATCCAATTCTTTACGAGAATAAAAAAGAAATTAATCCGATTCCATCCAAATCGCGCCTATTTATGCTTAACAACTTTAATAGTGTACTCTTTAAACACTTAACTATATAAGTGCTATAATAACTTAACTCGTTTTCTATTGCGTAAGTAGAGAGAGGTATCTAATAAATAAAGCCTACGTACGTGTTTATACATTACGGACTTTGTAAATAAATCATGTGGAACTGACCAACTATATTATAGTTACGTAAACGATTATATGTTTATATAAATATTAACAAGTATAGAATAATTATCGAATCTATAACCTTATGTTATTGAGTGAAGTTTAATAGAAATTTATAAGTATATTTATATATAAATATTAAAAGTATAAAATAATTAAAAGTACAACATAAGGTTCAATAGTACACTGAAGTTTATGAGTAAAATGAAAACATCAGAAATTTTATTGACGGCTGTTGGAGTAGGTATGTGCCGAACATACATCACCACTCGAAAACATTATATTTATACTTATAAGATTTTTTAAAATATCATTGGCAAAAAATACTAATCCAGGCCTATAGACAGAGATACCCACCTTGGTAAAAGATAACACTTCACAGAATTTCATATCTTGAAATTCTATAAGCTTCTAAATCCTGGAACGCACTGGTAACTATAGTATAAGTATCTATTTAAGAAAACACTTCATGTTCATAATTTATTTTTATGTTTTACAGCTCTAGATACAAGTCCTTTTAAGCCCAACTTTAACAAATACACTATACTCGTAATACATAGATAATGATTCTAGCATTAAGTTCAGATTTTGTACCGTTTTCTTGTCAATAAAATTTATTGAACTAATTAAAAAATACGTCGTATAGACAGATAAATATTAAATAATCAAATCAAAAATCATTTATTCATTTAGCCGCTTATAAAGGTATTTTTTTTGTATTTTTTTCCTGTTTTCTCGTTTAATAAATATGTAATCTGAATTTTATAACGCGTATTGTATAGAAAAGATCACAAATTAATCACATTTGAATAACAATAGCGGCATTACACCATTGTGTAGTTCTCTCACCCGGTTACGTAAACTATAAAAGTTGTCCGTTTGTTTAATTAGAACTTTTGTTATACACATTCAAAATGGCCGAACAATGTACAATTATTATTTTTAACACCACAATATGCTCTCGCGGCTTTCATATTGCGGTGTAGGTGTTATGTATATGAATGTATTATGTATAAAGTGCAATAGACGGCTCGTAGCCGGAAACACTGAAATAATTGTAACGTAGTCTAATTGTTATTGAATTATGTTTCTGTGTCACTTACTTTTTATATTTTTTTACGGCCTCGGGGGTCTAGTCGTTTAAAATACCGCCTTAATTTCGCGAGTTCGATTCCTCGCACGATGAAAGCATTTCTTTTTGAAGAGGAATCGAATCCGTGATCATCTGACGTAAAGCGGTGTATTAAACCGCTAGACCATCGAGGTCATCAAATTATTTTAATGTATGAAATATTTGCGGTCTGTTATGGTGGACACTTAAGCGGTAACAAGAAAAACGGTTACAGCTGTAATTCCTAGTTTCAGTCGTATGCTATAGACATCAATATGTCAATATTGAAAATTGTGGGAACATAGGGAAGGATGTTTTGTTATCAGTCAAACTATAACAAATAATATTATACAAACAGTATTAATCTATTCTCGATTTGAGCACGGACTTCATTAAGACAAAGTCGCTGTCGCTGTCTGTCCGTCCCTATGTATGCTTAAATCTTTAAAACTCCGCAACGAATTTTAACGCTGTTTTTTTTAATAGGTAGAGGTATAGGTATAGGTAGGTATAGGTATAGGTTTAATAGGTATTCAAGAGGAAGGTTTATATGTATATAAATGAATTAGTCATTTTTATAGAATATGTCCCTCCTTTCATATCTCAGAGACTTTTCTTATGGCAACATGCAAACATTATTATTTTAATATTTTATTTACTGCCGAATTCTTTTATTTCCAAAACTAGTATTACATTTTAATAAAAAAAGGAATACCGTATCCTAATGGAGAAAATATTTTTTATTATTTAATGAACAAAAAAACTTTTATAAAACTCGCGAGCTTATAGAGAGTTATGGCGTTCTCTCTCAGCTAATCTTTGGGTATAATCTTTATAAATAGTAGTATTGTTATTGATAATAGTTGTTTGTTATTATGTCATTACAAAATGTTGTTATTATATTGTTGAATACATTAATAAATGGAACCGGATTACATTAGTGAAGACATGACCTTATTTTCAGAAATGAGAATCCGTGAAGAGTTATCTGATTGACGGTGTCTTATTCTATTATCTATGGATAACCATAGACCTTTTATACAACAACTAGTTGACCGAAACGTTTTGCTGTTAGACCTACAATGAGAATCACTGGCTATTTTATATATTCTTTTGTCCATATTCAAAATATGATGTTCTTTATATACTTTTTTTTTTATACACTTCTGTAACTGCGCTCTGCTATATGCTATAGGTCTCTACAAGCATATCTTTTATTTGGATTCCTTTTTACTGATTGAATATTATAATATATAAGTTACTATCGCTATAAAAAATAGGAGATGGCAAATGGGCATATCCATAGACCTAATATAATATACGCTTTTTATGTAATTAGCTGACCCGGTAAACGTTGTTTTACCATATCAATTTTTAACCCCTATTTTTAAGCGTTCTTAGTATTCGTATTAAGAACGCTTAAAAATAGGGGTTGGTGGTTAATGCTACATTTAAAAAAATAAATGTTGGTGGACAACCCTTATCACTTAAGGGTATGAAAAATAGATAGTAGCCGATTCTCAGATGTTCTGAATATATGTATATAAAAATTTTACTAAAATTCGATCAAGTCGTTCCGAAGGAGTATGGTAACTAATATTAGAATTTTATATATAAGACTAGCTGTCCCGGTAGACGTTTTGCTATATAAGTTAATATCGCTATTAAAAAATAGGAGACGATGGTAGAAGGGCAGCCCCGAGTCTAGAGGGGGGGAGGGGCTACATGGGGCCCATGTCTCGGTCGGCAAGGTCTGAACGGCTAATAAAAAATTGGCAGATGAATATACAACTCATCATTAACGCTATGTTTGATACATTTGAAAATTCACACAGCGCCGTCTAGACCCAAGTTAGTGAAGCTTGTGTTATGGGTAGGTACTAGATAACTGATACAAATACATAGATATTTTTTTCGTAAATACATACATATTATACATAGAAAACACCTAGACCGATACAAACCATCATACTCATGAATACAAATGTTTGTGCGTGCAGGATCGAACCCGCGACCATCGAACGTAAAGCCGTGTGCTAAACCGCTAGACCGAGGTCGTCATAATAAAGATTATGTTTCTGATACTTTCGGCTATATTTCATCGTTTATATTACACAGTATGTATATATACGAGGAAACAATTGTATGACGAATAAAGTTCCGTAAACATAACTCGATTGCTTCGTCTGTTGGCTTCCGTCGATCGATTTGATAATGATAGGGTTGCTGCTTTTTTATTTCTATGAATTAAGTAGCGACTTGGCCGATTCCATGATGATAGGGTTGATAATATATATTTTTATTGACTAGCGGCTTGTCTTTCTGTCGTCTAGGTTGAATGGTAAATTTACCAATCTATTATACTTATATCAACCATCATATCAACATTAAAATACAATGTACATTGTTCTTGAATAAATAAATAAATAACAATCATAATTAATAACCTATAAATGGAAATAATATCTGTTCAATTGTAATGGACATTATCTTGAACAGCATCACGTTATCACGTGATGACCGTGATATTTCAAGATGACTAAGTCTTTGCGATTGCACTGCCTTAACCAATATTTTTAATCTTGAAGCAAACCCAGAAAAATATTATTCTTTCTTTATAACACTATAATACGAGAATCTCTTTTTTATATGTTGGTATAACCAAAACTAAATAGTGTCAAAGACCATATGTTCAATAAACACGAGATCAATAAAATATACTATTTATTGTAAAAGTCTAATAGAATTACATATGTATGTACAGTAACACGATTAAATT